AATGGACTACCCCCATACTTAACCTCGACATGGCCCTCAATGGCGTAAAAGAAGGGGATAGAACGATGTTACCGGTCAAGTTGTAAATGTTTGTGCTTGGGAGCGGAGGGCGGGTGAGCTACGGAAGAGTGTGGTCACGTCCAAAACACCACCAAGATCTCTTCAATGGTCTTCTTATTGGAGAGGAAAGCAAACAAACCGATGTTAGATGGGTTGCCTCCCACCAATCTCTTCTTTAACGTCGTGAACCGGAAGGTTGCTCCTCAAGTTTCGGTTCACCCAAGAACCTATGTGAAGTTGAGGTTCTCGTCGCTGAGTTGATGTCTCAAGTCACAAGCATTAGACGAGTCCATGATTGATGGCTCGTGAACTTGAGTGGCTTTGAGGCTCCACCCACGAGACCTCTCCTTCTTTCCTTCTTCCTTCTTCTCCTTGCCCCATACCATGTAATGCATAATCGATTTACCACCATCGCATCCACCAAGAGGGATCGCCGATGGTTTGGCCTTGGCTTGGCAAAGAGCCGCAAATGGGTCCTTCTCAAGAAGCGCGTCGAGGTCGGGTCAAAAGCTTTCATAGCCCTTGTAACTTGTGGATGCTTCATCCACCTCGACCTTGTCCTCATCTTGGACTCCACTTGCACCTTCTTCTTCATCTTCAACCTCCCTTCCTTCTTCTTCAATTTCCTCCCCTTGGGAACACTCAAGATCTTCCCCCTCTTCAATGCTTTCTTCCTCCTCTTCAACCTCTTCTTTCTCCTTCCCCTTCATGTCTTTAAGCACTGTTTGGAGGGAAAGATGCATGCAAGATCATAGAAAGTATTTTCTTGCTCCTCCACACTCGTGAATTTGTCTTCAAAGTTGCTCTCGTGAAGGGGAAGACGATGGGAGTTGTCAATGCAACCTTCTTGTTCGTACTCACCACGGGAGCTCTCCGGGGTGAGTTCTTCTTGCTCCCCACGGTTGTCATTGAGAGCCCCTTCAACCTCCTCTTTCTCCTCCAATAATGAGAGGCGATAGCTTTCACAAGCTCGTGCCACTTTCTCTTCTAGTGTCCGGGAGGAGGGAGGGGTTGGAAATCCATGCCGGAGCTCGTTCTTCCAAAATTCTCATGGCTCGCCTCTTCGACTTCCTCTCTTTCTTCCAATGGTAGGGGGCGATTGTGAGCAAGTTGTGCACGTGCTTTCTCTAGAAGCCCTCCTAGCCTCTCCGTGCATCGACAGAGCTCCTCCAATTCCCGAAGAAAGGTTGAGTCGATAGGGCCGGTGATTGGAAGGTTCGAATTGGAGCACCCTCGTCGGTACCCCGGGCAAATTTCTCCACCATGAGGTCCGAATTTCTCTTTGGCTCCGGTTGTGGAGTGGCACATGGTCTTGATGATTGTCACAAGAAGGCTTCCATGTCCAACTCCAACTTGGATTTCTCCTCAGGTTGTGGAGGGAAATCTTCTTGATATGGGGAAGCCTCTTCATACCCCCAATGGTATGGTTGTTCTTCTTGGAAGGGGGGTTGGTAATAGAATCCGGATCCTTGGCTTCCCCCTTGTTGTTCACTCCATGAAGCTCCGGGGTACCCCCATTCGGGTGGTTGTGGATACCCCACTTATTGTAGAATCCATCGGGATCCATGATTCATAACCTACACAAACAAAAACACAAAAACAAAATCAAATAAACACAAACCACCCTTCAAGACGAAGAGTGGGTAAACAAAACACAACACGAAACATAAAACACAAACAAAAAAGGCAAGATAGAAAATGCTAGAGTAACACTAAGCTACCTTTTCAAAATAATGGACCGCGATTCCCCTGCAACGGCGCCAAAAACTTGACTCGCATGAAACTACACCACAAATTCATATCAACTAGAGCCCAAGTTTTAAACTCTAGCCGGTTGCAGTATAGGGCAAGTATTTAAATTGTCAATCCGGGCAAATCCACGTACACCTACTTCAATCGCTTAGGTTGTTATCTAGCAAGCAACTCTTGTGTTTAGAACTAATGGAACTACAAACTAAACAAGCAAAGAAAAGTAAATAAAGGAAAATTCTCACTAAGGGAGCTTCACCCAGAAGTTGTTTCCCCTTAACTAGCTACCATGACTCGCTGGATTGAATGGAGTCGCGTGGCGTAGGTGGTTGTGAACTGCGGGGGTGAGCAACTAGTGATCGATTTGTCATGGAATCAATTCACTAGCGATCGATTTGTCACGGGATTGATCCACTCACCAAGTCTAGGGGAACCGCAAGGAGGAGAAACTAGTGATCAATTTGTCACGAGATGAATCCACTAGAGATTGATTTGTCACGGAATCGATCCTCTCACTCAGTCTCTAGGGGTGGCCTAGGTCTCTCCCTCAAACCAGAGTTTGAGCGGCTTAATCACAACCTACCTAGATGCAAACTTGAGTCAAGGGGGATGCTCATCTCTAACCTAGATAGTAAGCACAAAGTGCCCAGAAAAACCAAGCTCGTCAAGCCTACCTAAAAAGGTGTGGTTTTCCTCTAATCTAGGTTAGGCAAGGACACAAGATTTGGAAAGCACAACTAAGCACAATCACAATGAAAACACCTCTAATACTCAAATTGATGCAAACACATACAAAATCATTCAATCTAAACAAATAATTACAAAGTATTAGTTAGGGATCTACAACACCCAAGAGAAAAGAGTGAGTTTCTAGAGAGAGAAGAGAGGGATTACAAATTTGAGCTCAAGATCCTCTTCTTCTTCTTCTAGGCTTGAATCCTTGTCTTCAAGATTCACCCAAGCCTCCAATGATGCTCCAAGATCACTCTAGCACTCTCTCTCTCTCACACACACACACACACACACACACACACACACACACACACACACACACACACACACACACACACACACACACACACTAGAACTCCCCTTTGGTGTTTTTGGGCAAACCCTAGAGAGGGAATTGAATTTCTCTCCAAAAAACCAGCTTTGCTTTCTCTCTCCACGCTGTTGTCTTCATATTTTCCCGAAAAGTGCCCAGTTCATGGACGCGTTGGCCAGTTCACGGCCGTGAACACCTAAACACGTCCGTAAACTCAGTATCGTCCAAAACGCACCGCTTCACTCTCATGGGTTCACGGTTAATGGCCCCAGTTCACGGTCTTAGCGACCGTGAACTCGCTTGGCGTCAGTAACCTCTGAAACCTCATTGGACTGCTCGATCTTCATGGTTTGTGGCTCCAGTTCACGGTCTTAGGAGTTCATGAACTGCTTTGTTCGACCGTGAACTATGGTTGTTTCCTGGACGCCTGCACTTCACTGTTACTTCGGACTTTTCTTTGGTTTTTGTGCTTATTGACCATAAATTATCCCGAAACTCGTCCTCGACCATTCTGATAAAGCACCAGGGGGTGCTTTTGATTAGATTCACGCAGCTCTAACCCTCTAACGAAAATTAAAACGAATATGTAGAATTGTCGCCACAATCGAGGTTATTAATCCATTGATAAGAGAACTTGCTAAACGATTATGGAAGCCACTCAGAATAGCTTGACAAGGGTCTTGTAATTAGCTAAGGAATCCACTCGAAGATAATGACAATGGGTAAACTCTTGAGACGCAACTCAAGAACTCAAACACACGGTTTGTATTCAATTTAATCAACTCTGCTTTTACAACGAAAACTAGAAGACTTTTATAGCTAAGAAAACCTAATACAAATCTAGACTAACAAGGAAACAAATTAAATTAAATTAAAAGACTACTCTAAAAAGGACACAAAATTCGGACTCAACCTCCTCTTCTGGAAGCACAAGTAAGCTGCGAGCAGTCCAAAAATAGCTTTCGTACTAACGTCACGCCTTTCGTTCGAGGCCTTCCAGAACTCCAATCTTTCATCTGATTCCTTCCCTTGATAGATAAACATACCTAGTTCATGTTGTGGAAGCCGCTGGACTTGAATCACATCCATGCTCCTCGAATCGAGCTCCAAAGTAGGCTTCACAAACACGTTTCCAGACTTAACCATTTTCTGGCAGTTTTCCAGGTTTGAGGAAGCAACTTTGAGGCCTTGGAAAACAACCTTAATGACATCTTCCGGATCCAAAAAGCATACCATTGGAAAGATGGAAACTTTATCTTCAAAACAAGGCCTTGAACTCCCATTTTCATTGAGCCATTTGTGAGATAAAGGCTTCCAAAGTAGGTACCATGAACTCGGATTTTGACTTAGCCAAATTCTGCCCTCCTTCTTCCCAACTTCGATAGCTTCTTCGTCAAGTAATTTAAACGTGTATAGTTGACCATTTGGGATCGTATCACATTCCACACGTGCTAGGACCTGAAATGTATAAAAACAAGCACAACCTAGCGTGAAATATGTCGAGGAACGATGTTCTACTAAGCTAAACGAATAAGAAATGAGGGGTAAAATGTGTACATTTGGACCCGAATCAACAAGCTCAACCACTCTGGCGTCAGAGATAGTCGGATTGGAGCCCTTTTGGATGAAGTTTTGCATTGCTTATCTAACAATAACGGGTTTACTGTGCGGTTTGTAGGTCGGCGTAATAATAGGGTAGCCCATTTGGTGGCTAGGAAGACCCTTCTTTTGTACCCATCTGCAAGTCAGTTCTTTAATTTTTTAGCCTGACTCAATTCCAGGATGTAATTATATTTTCTCTCATTAATATATGATTATCTTTTGCCAAAAAAAAAAGTGAGTGAAAAGGAAAATTGTAATTAATATATTTTTGTAACTTATTATAATTTATTATAAAAGGTAATTAATAATTTTTTTGTTATATCTAATTTACTTTTAGTAACCACGATGACCTCTTTTCGATAATTTAGGGTAATCACCGTAACCTATCCTCCGTCATCAATAAACAATAGCAATTTTAGGGGACCATTACGTGAATCAGCAGTAACTTAAGGGACCAATCCCACACCCGAAAAACAAGAAAAAACCAATCGGCCACTCTTTCCTCCACAAGTAAGCAAACAAACAAACGCTGCTTCCCATTTCCCTCTTCGCTCGTCGTTTCCATTTCCTCTCTTCTTCTACTATTTTCCTTTTCCCCTTCGCATGTTCTCGGAGCTCCGGCTCCCTTAACGGAGCCCCAGCTCGGATCTAATCGCACTACCCGAATCCCTTCTTCTCCAATCTCTCTCGATTCTAATAAAATCATCTCTCTCTTTCTCTTACCCTAATCTTTCTTCCATTGTTCAGATCTCGAATCACTCCCCAATGTCGAAACCGTGGGGCAACATCGGAACCTGGGCCGCCGAGGCCGAGCGCGAGGAAGAGGAAATGGAAGCCGCCGCAGCAGCCTCATCCGTCGCCGCCGCCGCCGCACCGGCCGACGCCCAGAGCTTCCCTAGTCTCCGCGAATCCGTCACCGCGAAGCCCAAGAAGAAGAAGATGACCCTGAACGAGTTCTACTCCGTCTCTAGCGCTACCTTGAACCGTCCCGTCCAGTCCAAAGGACTCACTCCCGACGAGATGCTCCGTCTCCCCACCGGCCCACGCGAACGCGACCCGGAAGAAATGCAGTACGGTACCCGCGGGTTCTCCAGTTACGGCCGCTCCGGCGGCCCTCCTCCCGGAAGGGGCCGGGATGATTTCAACGATGGCGGGTCGTGGGGTGCTGGTGGCGCTGGGAGGCGGCAGTATGGCGGTGATTACGATGACGAACGGCGCGGCCCGCCTTCTAGGGTTTCGGATTTCGATCAGCCTTCGCGAGCTGATGAAGTGGACAATTGGGCAATGGGGAAGAAGGCTCTTCCGTCGATGGATTCTGGCCGTCAGAGTAGGTATGGCTCGCTTGGGAGTGGCGATGGGGGCATGGGAGGTGCCTCTAGGGCTGATGAAGTGGATAACTGGGCTTCTGGTAAGAAGCCGGCGGCGGCTCCTTCTAGATCCTCGAACTTTGGGTCCGGATTCCGTACCTCCGTGTCGGAGCCTGACCGGTGGACTAGAGGGGAAGGAATCCGTGAGCTGGAGGCGACGGAGAGACCGAAATTGGTTTTGAATCCTCCCAAAACCGATGTGACGGCAGTGACTGAGCCACTTACCGAGGCAGTCAAGACGAACAAGCCAAACCCATTTGGGGCAGCGAGGCCGAGAGAGCAAGTTTTGGCCGAGAAAGGGTTGGATTGGAGGAAGCTCGAAACTGATATTGAATCAAAGAAGACTTCTTCCCAATCAAGCAGGCCAACAAGCGCTCATTCTAGCAGGCCTTCGAGTGCACATTCCAGTAGGTCTGAGGCTGCTCCAGCTGGGTTGCTGCAGCAGGGATTGGAAAATTTGGCGAGACCAGCTAGACCGAAGGTGAATCCCTTTGGGGATGCTAAGCCCAGAGAAGTGTTGTTACAAGAAAGAGGGCAGGACTGGCGAAAAATTGATCGTGATTTGGAGCATCGCAGTATTGAAAGGTCTGTAATAACTGAGCCTTTCATTTTATCAATTGTTTATGCTGCCCCTTGCAAGGGGTGGGAAGAACTTAAAAGGTTGTCAATGAATGTCCACGCTAGTGGAAATTCTTGAAAGCTCTAGCATTTTTTTGGTGGTCTTTAGTCCGGGAAGTTATAAGAAATATCTACATTGTTTGTGGTAGACTTGCAAGAAAAGAATGGGATGCTATTTGCATTTGTATGGCATTAATCAGAGTTATGACCTGCTTACCTGTCCATCCTCCAAGTGGTTTTGGTTCAGAATTTAGAGTAGATTATGTCACTTCGGTCCTCTATACTGCATTCTAATTATCGGTGTTAAAGTGCCGTCGAGGGAAAACGAAACTAAGGAGTAAGTTTAGCCTAGCATATGATATATTAGTCAGAGTTATGGCCTGCTTACCTGTCCATCCTCCTGGTGGTCGTGGTTCAGAATCTAGAATAGATTATGTCACTTCGGTCCTCTATACTTCATTCTGATTATTGGTGTTAAAGTGCCATAGAGGGAAAAAAGAAGCTAAGGAGTAAGTTTAGCCTAGCATATGATATGTTGTATTGAGACGTGAAGAAATCATGTGAGCTTAGAGTATAGATGTTCATGTGAAACTACCAAGAAATTGCCGAATACATTTAGCTTCTTATTCTGTGGTGTACTAATGCATGAACAAGTCATCACAAACTAAAAGCATAGATACTCGTATGAAGCTACAATGAAATTACTGGATATGTTTTGCTTACTATGATATGATGTGATGTTAACGCCTGAAACAAGTCATATTAACCCAAACACATAGATTTTCCCATATTCATCTGAAGTACCCTGAACCAGAATGTTGATTCGAGTAGTGGGGCCATGGTTAGTTAGGATTCAGGTGGTCACATCTGTCTGGGTTTGTCAGGGGGTTTTCAAGCTATAGCTTGAAGCAGCTCATCTGTTCCTTTAGTCTAGACACTATTTTTAAGTGAATGTCTGTGGTTGAATTTCTGCATCTCATGTTGAACAAATTTCTTTTATTTACACTAGATAGTCTTTTTGTGTTCTAAAGTATAGTATACAAATGGTGTTCTACATTTCTTGGGATAATAGTAGTTTTTCACCTCTTTCATTCATGGGTAAGGTTGTGATTCGAGCCCACTTTGTGCAGTTATTAATTAAAATATTGCTGCATTTTCATAGCACCTGTTGTTATCCTCGTTTTCTCGTTCGAGTGCCTGTCTTACTTTGTTGCTACCTTTTCCATCTGTTGCCATACCTAATTGTAAGAGACTCTGCAGACCAGAGGCAGAAGAGGAAAAGTTGCTGAAAGAAGAAATAAATCAGCTAAAGCAGGAATTCCAGAAGGAAGCTTCATTGGAAGAGAACAAAAAGGAATCTGTACAGGTCACCGATGGGGATGATAAATCCAGTTTACGAGATGTAATAAGCCAGAAGGAGAAGGAACTAGAGACATTGACTCGTGAGTTGGATGACAAGCTTCGATTTGGTCAGAAACCACATAACGAGAGGCCTGGTTCTGGGGCAGGTAGGACTGGCGGTTTCTATGAGAACAGACCTCCTTCTCGAACTGGATCAATTGATGAGGCCAGGAGTACTGAGTTTATGGACAGACCTCGCTCACGTGGTGCACAAGATACATGGACCCGGCCCATTGATGATAGAAGGTCGTATCAAGGTGGCAGGGAAAGAGGATTTCTGGGTAGCAGAGACTTTGACAGGTGTCTATCTATTCTCGGTCTTTGCACCTCATATAGCGGCACTAGCCATATTTTGCATGTTTAGTACTGTTCTTAGAACCTGATACATTGCAAGGGAGTTGAACTAGAAGCACATCTATTATGCATACGTCTTCAGTGGCAGTTAAGACTCTGCATGTTGTTGTTGACACTGTTCTCGGACATGCATCTGCTGCCCGTATACGGGAATTCTGTGGAAAATATGCTGCAGAGTTTCTTATCTATCTTTTCTCGATCTCTTGTACTGGAACTAGTTGATCTTGGTAGGGTTAGCTTGGTAATGGGTGGTTCTTTGAAGCAGGAATTCATTCATTCTCCTGATTGCAAATTGTGATGATATGTTCCCTTATTGCAGGCCAAGATCAAGGGATAGATGGTGAGAGCAGCGACTTGCATGGGGTTTAGAGGGATTCCTTGGGAGCAGGTCATTGGATTTTGACAAGCAGAACCAAATAATATCGTCTCACTTATTTCCCTTCCTCTCTCTTGGTTCTTTTTCTGTTTTGTTTTTGGTGGGCGCTCTGGGGAAACAGAGCAAGGATCATTGAGTATCAGCATCGAGACCCAGTTGCTTTTTTGTTAGTCTGTTGTTTCTCTGTCTCTCTAATCCCAAAAACTGTGTAGAACTTGCAGCCAGCCCCCTCCCTGTTCATCTTTTCTCCCCACCAACCACCAACATTTTTGTCTTTTTTGTGTTTAATGATTCAAGGAGCCTGTATTTGTTGGTAGGTAGGAAGGAGGACTCTTCCCTTTCGAATATTTCATTGAACATACTCTGTCAGACATTTGGTTAGTTTTCCTATTTGATTTTGTCAGATATTTTCTTCCAAGGAATTCAATCTGCTCTGTAATTTGGCATGCCTTTCTAGAACAGCCATTCTTTGAAGTTCATTGCTTTACAGCCCCTGTTCTCAATTGTGTGCTTTCTTGACAGCAAAGTACCCTACAGACTCTTTCTAGCTTTCAGGTTTCACAGCTCCGTTTCTTCAATCATCCCTGTCTATACTTGATCTTTCATGATTGCGACTCTAATGATTACTCAGACAAAAAACCCATTGGAGGGGACGATTAGGAGTTATAGACCTGCGTGTTGGCTTATTTTATTGACGACATCTCTGATTGTTATTTACTTATTTTCGTTGCTTGAAGCAGACCACTTGCAATACAATACAACCTAGTAAACAAAACGAAGGGGCCACCAACTGCAGGGGTCGCAATCCACGAGAAACAGCGACTCTTTTCCCACTTCATTTATAGCTAACTCCATCGATATTATATTAGCCATTTCGCACAAATGGCTCTCCTACTTTGGGCACTTGTGCTCTCTCCATTGCTTCTTCCATCCACCTCTTCTTCCGCTTGCAATTTCCCAGCTGTGTACAACCTAGGCGATTCCAATTCCGACACAGGCAGCCAGCCGGCTGTGTTCGGACCAGTCCACTCGCCCAACGGCGAGACTTTCTTCGGCAAACCATCGGGTCGATACTCCGACGGCCGGCTGATCATCGATTTCTTAGGTATCCATCCGTAAAGCTGGAACGTATGTCAGCGTGTCGGCTTGGTCATCTGATTTCTTTCTTCTTTTTGGGCGCAGCTGAGAAGCTGGGGCTCCCGTATTTGAGCTCATTCCTCGATTCCATAGAATCCAACTTCACCCACGGCGCCAATTTCGCTTCGAGTGGAGCCACAATCCAGCACACCAATGGGAAGTTGCTCGACGCGGGGTTTAACCCAATAACTCTGGATTTCCAGTTCTTGCAGTTCCAGCAGCTTAAAGATAGAACCTTTCAGCTGCAGGAAACAGGTGGTCAGTAGTTAAAGCAGTAAACTGTTTCTCGTTGACCTTGTGAGATTCTTTGATACCTATTCATTTCATCTGTGGGGTGATTCAGGAGGAGGGACTACTGTGAATCGCTTGCCAGAACCAGAAGATTTCGGAGCTGCTCTTTACACTTTGGACTGTGGCCAGAATGATCTTCATTTTGGCCTAACTGACTTGGGAGGCGAGCAAGGAGCCCTTTCTTCCATCCCTATGGTCATCAGCTACTTTGTTTCAGCCATAAAGGTACCGCGAAAAATCGAGGTTAACCAACAGCTTCCTTAAACAAGTCTCTGAATTTTGTGGGCACTGGGAATTTTTTTTTTCTTTCTGTACCAGAACCTGTACAAAGAAGGAGCAAGAACATTTTGGATACACAACACAGGTCCCATCGGCTGCTTGCCATTCTTTGTGATTAGGTACCCTCCAAAGCCTGGAAATGAAGACCCAATTGGCTGCGTTAAGTCCTTCAACCAAGTGGCTCAAGAGTTCAACAGACAACTTAATCAGACAGTCTACAAGCTAAGAACCCAGTTCCCTGACGCACTGCTCATCCTCGTCGACATCTACACTGCAAAGTATTCTCTCATCAGCCAAGCAGAACAGCACGGTAAAGCACACGAAAGGAATGCAACTTAATTCGAACCCGATCAGTCTTCAAATTGGTACTCGACTGTTGAGTGGTTTATCTTTTGTTTTGTGGATTGGATTTACAGGGTTTGAAGACCCACTTGGGTTCTGTTGTGGCCATTTGGGGGATGATTATGAGGTTATGTGTGGGAAGAAGGGTCAGCTGAGGGATGGTACTGTTGTGTATGGAACTTCTTGCAAAGATCCTTCCAAGTACATCAGCTGGGACAATGTGCATTACACTGAAGCTGCGAATCGGTGGGTTGCTGATCGGATCTCGGATGGGTCGCTGTCGGATCCTGCTGTGCCCATTAGTGAAGCTTGTAGCAGGGCTGGAAGGTCGCTGGACACCTTGTTGTATGAACTCTGAAGCGTATATATTCATGTGTGTATCTAAATTTTCGCATAATCCCATCAAATAATTAACAACTTTTTTCAAGTAATTCCTTCAGTCTTATCAACTAACAAATAACAGCGCAATATATTACTCGGAATTAGGGGATTTGCTAAAAAAAATAAGAATTGATTTCTATACATACTAGAAATGGAAACCAAGTGTAGTTTTTAATTTTTGTACAAAATTTAATTTTTGTGTCTTAATTCACCTGCATAGTAATAATTTTCACGATTTTGACAAATATAACCACTTTTTGAAAAATACACAGATATAGCCAATTCCGTCCAATTCTTTTACTGTCCACTTAACCCGCTGACTGGACTAACGACAACAGTTGTTGTGACGTGTTTTATTTTGCGTCCTTGCCACATGGAAATCATTCATATTTTTTTAATTAATGAATAAATGAAATTAAAAATAAAAGTAAAAAAGGGAGAGAAAAAGCAATCCCAATCACTTTCCCCTTTTCGTTCATCTGTTCCCACCAACCACATCTCCTTCTCTCTCGACTGACCCCCTTCGTGCTCGATCCTTGACAAAGAGAAGCCATGCATCCGGACGACGAGTAGCATCGGCCGACGATTCTGACTACGATGGCTCTGATAGATCATCGAAAACCCTAAAAATTTTGGTGCTTGATAGATTGGCGGAAACCCTAATCTTCGGGTTGTTGCGACTAGTGATTCCTTGTGTACTGCAATGGTTTTGTTCTTTGCATGGTTAGCTTGCTTTGTAAACGGGAAGTGGGTGTTCGTTTTTTATAGGTTGAAGGGAGCTGGAAAGGTGGAAAGTGACATCCCAAGTTCTTGAGGGACTATAATATGTTTTTTGTGACGAGATTGCCCATGAAAAGATGGTGAACACCTGAATCTCTAGCTATAATGATCATTTAACTATAAAAGGTTCCACTTCTCGTGCTTGTGTTGGTTGTATGTGGATTTCCCTAATTTGTTTAATCTCTTGTTGGTTGTATGTGTGTGATTTGTTTATTAGTGAGTAATATTTAATTAGTAGTTAATGACATAAAGAATAAATTTTTGCAGAGATGGTAGATTCATGGGTGGAAGGTAATGGGGAGAATGTCACAAACCAGATTGGGGCAGAAGACGATCTCCTATCAGTTGAAGATGAGGCAGCAGCTTCGGTTGCAAGGGAGGTGTACCACGTTTACGAATTTGATGATGCATTGACTTCCGATGACGAATATCACGAAGCAAGGACAACTTACAAGCATATGGTGAAATGAGAGGAGAAGGGAGGTGCACTCAAGGCCGACTGTTAATGGGGAAGAGGTAGACCAACTTGACGAATTTGAAGAAGTGGAATCTGATAGTGAAGAGGATGCAGAGAGTAAAGATGGTCGTGATGGAGAGGCTGCAGGGGGAGAGGAACCAAGGGTAGAGGATTCTCATCATTCTCTATCCAACCATCCTCCACCTCAATCTCAACAAGCTGGTGGTGAGAATTCAAATCATTCGACTTACAGATTGTCTGAAGATACAGATCATGTGAGTCCGAACTTGTCTGATGATGATGGTGGAGAGATGTACGATGATGCACCACACTATGACCCAAGTCGTGGCCATAGAACCTTGCAATTCGTGTGTTGGATGAAGTTCAAGTGTCCAGAGCAATTTAAGGATGTTCTTGTTAGACATTCTGTGGCAGCAGGAGCAAGTATGAGGTGGTTTAGGAGTAACCCTGATAGGAGGGAGGTGAAGTGTAAGGCTTCCAATTGTAAATAGAGATTGTATGCGAGTTGGTTCAGGAAGGACACGACCTTTATGCCCAGGAAAGTAGGGCTGCCACATACTTGTTCAAGGCTACTTCGAGTGAACTAAGTCACTGCGAAGTGGATAGCAACTGACATTCTAGAAAGTTTTAGGATAAATACTAAATGGGCTCCGTACCAGATAATGGCTGAGGTGAAGCTAAAACACAATATGGAGGTCAAGAACAAAACTTGTTATAGGGCTAAAGTGGAAGCTATCAAGTTGCTCAGTGGTTCTTTGGTGGGTGAGTACGTGAGGTTGAGAGGCTATGTTGCTGAGTTGAAGAAACGAGATCCTGAAGGGCATTTCATGTAGGAAGGGGTTGGACTATAATTTCTGACCAGCAGAAGGTATACTCTATTAGAGCACTTCTCCTTCTATTCAAATTATGTTTTGAGCTGTTAAAATTGTGTTGACGTGTAACTTTACCACCTGCAGGGTTCAGATTAGGCCATTTATGCCATTTTGCCTGAAGCTGAGCACTGGAAATTTGCACCACATGTGTATGCCAATTGGAAGGCAAAGAACAAGAGTGATCGTGTTAGGAAGTTTTTTTTGGAAGGCTGTTTATGCTGTGTAACAAAGTATATTGGAAGCGAGAAACTTCTGAAATGGAGGCCCTTGAAAGATCAGGTAATGGCTTTACCCTTTATGCATAGTTTATGGCTGCTGAACCTTGTAGATTCTGTCGTGCCTTCCTATAATGTTTTTTGAAGTGTGACTCGGTTGAGAACAATATATGTGAGACATGGAATGGTAGCATTGTTAAGTATAGGGGGATTTAAATTTGTAGACATGTTAAAGGGTATTAGGCAGTACATGATGGACATGGTGGTGATTAAGTCCGAAATGTTGGGTAAGTGTGATGATATCCTGTGTCCAAGGATTAGGAAACGAGTTGAAAGGGAAAAGGAGGATGCTAGGCTATTTGTAGCCAAGATAACCCTCAATGCAAGGTGTGAGGTAAAGAGGGGGGGGGGTGAAGGGTTTATAGGGGACCTCAATGAATGAACGTGCTCTTGTGGTTACTGGCAACTGAGTGGCATCTCATGCTATCATGCCATTTCAGCAATCAACCATCTAAGGAAGGACGTGGACGATTATGTCCATTCCTACTACCATTTGTGTATGGCTGGTTTCACATACAATTATGTGCTACCTTGCCTTGAGGGTAGACAAGCATGCCTGCAGTTGAGGGATACCTTGTGGACCCTCCCAAAAGCATATCAATGCCAGGCAAGCTGAAAAAGAAAAGGAAAAGGGCTGCTAATGAGATGGAGGAGACTAAGGCCCAAAGGACCAGGACGGGTGAAGAGGTTACAAGGAGAGGTAATCTGATGCACTGCTCGTAGTGTGGCATAGAGGGTCACAATGCTAGATCTTGCAAAACACCCCCTGTTGCCCTAGTTGTGGTGGTAAGGTTCGACTCTTTACTTGATATGAAGTAATTTTGTCTCATGTTTAACAAGTTTGTTACTTGGCAGGAGAGAAATACCTAAGCTAGAGGGGTGCGAGTTTCAGGCCAGGAACCTAGAAACAATGATGACAGAAAATAGGGGGCAGTCCATTATTCAAAATGTGGCCTTACCACCCACAACGCAAGAACTTGTCCTCTGAATAGAGGACTGGTATACAAGTAAGTGCATTTAATGTGTAGAGATGTGTGTGAATGAGGCATAATTGCCAAACTTAGTTTGTTATATGTAGGACGTGAGACTCAATGTTGTTGACAGAAGAAAAATTGAAAGGGAAATGCATGCTGCAACTTCTGGAGTTGGCGTGTATGTGAATGAGAGGAAAGGAAACCAGTACGTCAGGGTTAGTACCCAAAATGTAGTGGAATTCAAGCAACTGGATTTAATGAATTTGCCTATCATTGGGTATTAATACCTTTGAGTCATCTTTTGTGTAATGTCGACAAAAGATCCTTGTGGGATCGAAACTATGTAATGACAATTACATGACTCATGTAGTGGTTTTTAGAAAGTAGGTTAGTTATCAAGTAGTGAAGTTAGATGGTTATGAACACCCTTATGTGGATCCAAGCACTATGTTAACTAGCATGGCACGTGTATAATGTACTTTGTAATGAACACCATTTTGATTTGCACCATTTTTTACAAGTGTATAATGTATCTGAAAAATAGCAAGTCTATGTTGCTTTCATTGCATATTTAAAGGGAATACCAACTTCCAAAAAAAGGGAATACAAGAACACATGTTACACTAATAATCAAACAATATTACACTTAAACCGTGCATACATGAGCTAAGTTTCTTCCTCCAACAGAAACACTTACAAATTGGCTAAACACCCACAAACACTTACAAATTGTCAAGAACTACATTTCTGGCCTTCAACAGAAATCCTCAAAATGTGCATCCGTCTAGTTTTCCATCCAACCCAAAATTTAATTACTTTTTCGTACCCAAAACTTTTAAAACATCCAAAACTATATTTCAACAAGTTTTTATCTAATATAGAAATTAAAAAAACTTCTAAACATAATATTACTAAAATGACTAATAAAATTTTTCAATAAAACATATAAGTTAGTAAAAATAATAAACAAATATCAAGAAGAAGAATAAATATATAGAATATAATAACAAATATTTAAAATCAATATTAGAAGATCTATTTAAATCACTAATCCGATAAGAAGTACCATTAAAAATAGTTAAAATAGAATCTAATGGATCATCAATACATCAAGACCAAAGAATGATAAATGGAACATAGTTAGAAAGAATTAAACATATTACAGTAATTGAAGAAAATTTAGAACGAAAATAGAATGAAAGTAACCAAGAAAATTATACAACATCCAGATGATGTACGAGAATTAAATATAACATCCTCATATTATTTATATCGATATAGAATTCATAGGATATATTTTCTTATGCAAATTATTCGATTATTATAACACATAATGGTAATTTAAAGTATTTATAATGATAATTGATTCTACATTTCCTATTCAAAAATTGGTTTGGTATAAAAATCTTTAAAAAAAGAGAATAATTCAATTATTAGAAAACATAATGATAATTGAAAATACTTATAATAATAATTGATTTTAAATTTTGTATTCAAAAATTAATTTGGTATCAAGTTTTCAAAAGAGGATACCAATTAAATAATAAAAATTGATGTTTTTCATAAGTCAAAAATGATTTTTTACAATAAGAAAAGTAGAAGGACCAATTAAGACATTTAGAAAACATAATATTCCAAGAATATTCTGTTAACTTTAACGAAATGCACTTAACATTAAACTTAAGTGGTACCGGGTGCACAAATAATAGGGTTCAGTGGTACCCGACGCCCTATTCAAACTTAAGTGGTATGCATGCCCCAATTCTGAAACTTAAGTGGTATCCGAGGTATTTTCCCCTATCATGCAGTAACCGAATAAGTTTCGTTATCAAACATATATGTAAAAACCAATAGGGTCACACAAAGAATCTATTGCTTACCTTCCAATTAGTACAACGGTAGAATTGCCAACTTGGGTTCGTATAAGTACCCGATGTTTTAACCACACATGGAACATTGGGCTCGCAACGAACGAAAACTCCACTATTGGTACTTGCTGAAGCTGAATCGACTACATTGAAATCCACCTTCTTTCAAGCCCTTTGCGACATGGTTCCAACCGTTGGAAAAGGAGATGCAACGACGCGAATTGGGAAATACGACTGGGTTATGGGGTCTGAGTTATTGGAATCGGTAGAGTCGTAGGGGAGACAATTTAGGCCATATTGGTGTGCTGAGCGGGAGGCTTCGGCGACATAGAGGATTTGTGGTTGAGGGGAGGAATTGACGACTCGAATTTGGGGAAAAGCTCCTCCGGCAGGGTGGAGAGGCCGGAACCCTAGAAAAGAAGTGAGGAAGGATAATGAAAAGGAAGAGAATTCGATGGTTACGGGTGTTCAAATGGTTACCGTGGTAATAACCAACCCAATTAAGCTTAAATTTCATTAACCAAGTTATAAAATGTATTAACCAAACCGTACAAACACGAAAACCAAATTAACCAAACCAAAGTTTAATTGGTCTGGTTAATCGGATAATCGGATTAACCAAATAACATAACATTACATGAAAACAATTATCCTATTGATGAATAAAACATAACCATATGTTATTACTATCATAAACTATCATTATATATAAGCAATAATAATAAGACTAACCATCCATGATTATCATCATCATTCGAGTTAATACATCATTCGTCATCTCTGCACCTAATATAGTTAGTTTACAACAAACCCTTAACATAAATATTAAATACATACCAATACCACTCATCAGGAAGTTAAAGCTCTCCTACAAAACACTTAAACTATACATAGTTTGAGGTGTCTGTCATGGTACTGTACGTAATTCTAAAGTCTAGTAGCTGTCCAAAATGTTTTTTTTAGTAAGTAGGCAGGTCAATTTAATTTTTGACCCATAATGCTTTGGTTTGTTGCGCACATGAAAATAAAATAGGGAATCACGGAAGTTTTATTTGGTTGGCTGAATGGAAGTATAAATAATTTTGTATATTACGTGTATCATTAATTGGTTAATTGGTTTCATTGATTAGCAGTGTTGAAACCAAACCAAACCACCTAAACCAAATAAGCTAAATTGTTTAATCAAACCAAATCAATTATTCAAATTAACCGAATGCTACCGGTTAATTTGGTTACCATGGTAACCAATCCGTTTGAACACCCCTAGTGATGGTGAAGGAGAGAGATATATATAAAATTAATATTAAACAAAAAAATCAATTTATTATCTGATGTAGCATCCACGTCGCTTAGTCAGTCCGTTGGCGATGACGAGTCTTCCATGTGGCGGACAGATCAACTAATCGTCCACTTAAGTGACGGGGAAATTAGTCAAAAATATTTTTAAAATGTGGTTATATCTATGTATTTTTCAAAAAGTGGCTATATTTATCAAAATCGTGAAAGTTATAGCCATGCACGTGAATTCAACTAATTTTTTTTATGATCACTTCTAAAATTAATAGTTCATGATTTGTGTATTAATAATTTGTACTTTTGGAATTCATAATTACAATTATATTTTATTTTATCGAAAATAATTGTTTTTCCGTGCACTATCATACATATACTTAGCGAGATACCAAAATTATCATCCCGACATGATCCATTTATAAACATGCCATACCTATTATCTACAATTGCCAAGTACTGTTTTATACCATTCACTATCTCACACGAGTGGATAGGGTGCTAACACTCCTTATTATTAGAACCATGCTAACATAATTATAAGATATATTATGATAATTGTTGTACATAATAGTTATTAGCCCACGCTCCTCCCATCTCCCGCCTCCACCCTCACCTCCATTTTTCCTTGTGTAAAAATACCCACCAGGTTACTTGTAAAAAAATATATTTTACCAATACTTGTCATTCTTCATTACGTTTTTGGTTTGCTTTGTGGAGTTTTTGGTATGGTTTCTTGTCTTTCTGTTCTAGCTCATAAGATTTCTAAAGTGGTTACACATATTTCTGGTCTAATTCAGTGAATTTGTAGTATATTTTATAAGCTTTCTGGTTTTCATGAAGTTTATAGTCTACCAGAGAGCTTATGATATGCTTTATGAGATTTATGGCTTGTTTAAGGAAACTTATGGTCTACTTTATAAGATTTTCGGTCTCCTTCAAGGAACTCCTTGTCTGTTTTATGAGATTTTTAACTTGTATTTTGTGTATGCTTCATATACTTGTGCGCTCCAATAATTTTAGAAAAATGAAAAGCGTGCCCCTCTCTCTGAATCTTTTCTTGTTTTTTTTTTTCCTGAGGTTGTTTGCCTATACGATTTTTAGCATCGATTTTGGATTAAAATCCCACACCCATGGAATTATGCACAAAGTCCATGTTTGGTGTCAAAGTGGTCTTGGATTATGATGTGTGGGCCCATACATGTGGGGTTGTTTTGAGGTCAAAATTCGTGAGGTCCACGGATTATAAAATCCCACCTAAATATAAATGATACTTTCGTGAAAATTATTATTTTTAGTGGTATCATTTTTTAATTTTTTTTACATATAATTTATGTTTTCATTCAATTTCATAAATCATTGAAATTCACTAGTATTATTCAAATAACTTGTTTTTATTCATTTCATTATAACAACATTACTTTATTTCATGGTTTTATTATAAGAACTCTATTTCATGGTTACTGCAGGCAATCGACTTCTTTTCCCCTACAACTAGATATGTTCGCTCGCTGCGCTTTGCGTAAAGCGAGTAATGTAAAAAGGTTCTATGTTTTTGATTAGTCTCCCCGATAGTGGTATTACAACGCTGATAATGGTAGGCTCCGCTGTCACTCATGTGACATGTGGGTTGCCGATGTTCCAGGGTTATAAAATAAAAAAAAGAAATGAAAAAAAGGAAAAAAGAGATAAATATGTGTTTATTTACAAAGGAATGGGAAATGAAAAAATAAAAGTTATGCAAATATGTGGGTTTAGTGTAATACCACTAAAGTTGTTGAAAAACAAAAACATCTCTTAATCAATAGTAACCCTAAAACTATGACTTCCGTTTCCTCGCTGTTTTAGTTTGAACAATTTTCCTTTTGTTATTGTGCATTTGGTGCTCTGGAGAAGGGAAACAGAGGGAAGCATTACTGTCGTAATTACTATGTAGTTAGAATTGAGACCCAGTTGCCCTCATCTTCACTCCGTTGTTTATTCCTCCTTACCCCTCAAGCATTCTGTAGACCAGACTCTCTCTCGTTTCCACGCCTTGACTCGTCAACCTTCCCTTGGCAAAGTTGTTTGCTTTATAGCCCCTGTTCTCATCTGTGCTTGTTGACATTAACCCTTAATCTACAGAGCCCTGTTAAATTCTCCTCTCTAGTTTCCACGGTTCTTTCCAGTCAAAGAGCATGCATTGACAACTGCCAACAAGAGTCGCTGACTCTTTCCCCTTATACAGCAGAGGTATATCTAACTCCGAGCTTGAAAATTGAAATCCCATGCATTAACTCAAATCCCAAACGATCAGTATGGCTCTCCTAATTTGGTCACTGCTGATGATGACATATTCACTGCTACTGCTTCCATCATCATCGACAGATTCCAGTTCATCCTGTCATTTCCCAGCGCTCTACAACTTTGGCGATTCAAATTCCGACACCGGCAGCCAATCCGCCGTGTTCGGACGGCTTCCCCCACCCAACGGCCGGACTTTCTTCGGCAAACCCTCCGGTCGACGATCCGACGGCCGGCTAATCATTGACTTCTTAGGTAAAAATAGAGCTGAGTTTCAGGGCGTGTATAAATAGCCATGATCTGATTTCTTTTCTTCTCTGTTTTTGTTTTTGGGGATGCAGCTGAGAAGCTGGGACTGCCGTACTTGAGCTCATTCCTCGACTCCATCGAATCAAACTTCACCCACGGCGCCAATTTTGCTTCAAGTGGAGCCACCATCCAGCCGCCCCGTGGGGAACTGCTCGACGCGGGATTCAACCCTATCACTCTCCGTTACCAGTTCCTGCAGTTTCAGCAGCTCAAAGAAAGGACATTTGAGCTGCTGCAGAAACGAGGTCAGTTGATCAGTTCCACGCAAACTTTTTTTCTTCTTGTTAACCTTCTGAAATTTGGATACCCATTTTGGTGGGGATTTAGGGGGAGGGATAACTGTGAATCGCTTGCCAGAACCAGAAGGGTTCGGAGCTGCTCTTTACACCTTGGATTGTGGGCAGAACGACCTTGATTTTGGTCTCAATGAATTGGGCGGTGATGAGCAAGGAGCCATTTCTTCCATCCCTATGCTCATCGACTACTTTGCTTCGGCCATAGAGGTACTAAAACGAAGAACTTTGATTCTCAACTTTGATTTCTAGCAGGTTTTGTCATTAAAGTTTTGCTAATCATGGGACTGGTCCTTGCTACATTCGGTCATGAACTTTCTTAATCAAGTTGCTTAAGTCTTGTTGGTACTGAAACTTTTGTTTTATCACCAGAACCTGTACAGAGAAGGAGCAAGAGCGTTTTGGATACACAATACAGGTCCAATTGGTTGCTTGCCATCATCTGTGATTAAGCACCCACCGAGTCCCGGAAATGCAGACCCAATTGGCTGCATCGATTCCTACAACAAAGTGGCTCAAGAATTTAACAGACAGCTTAATCAAACTGTCTACAAGCTGAGAACCCAATTCCCTGATGCACTGCTCGTCCTTGTCGACATCTATTCTGCAAAGTACTCTCTCATTAGCCAAGCCGAAAAGCACGGTAAAGCGCAACATGGATTGTAATTGATTTGAACCCCATCAAGCTCAAAATTGTTAATTTTCTGACTTATCTTTTTGTTTGTTGGATTGGATATAGGGTTTGAAGACCCATTTGGGTTCTGCTGCGGCCACTTGGGGAATGATTACGAGGTTGGGTGTGGAGGGGAGACTAAGTTGAGGAATGGAACTATTGTCTATGGGATTTCTTGCAAAGATCCTTCAAGATACATTAGCTGGGACAATGTGCATTACACTGAAGCTGCAAGCCGATGGTTGGCTGACTGGGTTGCCAACGGGTCGCTGTCGGATCCTCCTATACCCATAACCGAAGCTTGTGGCAGAGTTGGGAGGTGACTACTCACTAGATGTACTTGCTACATAGGAGGTGTAAGAAAATTGCATGGGGAGTATAAAGAAGCCATCTTTTTAATTTGCCAATTGATGTAGCTTGTGTTTTGATTGGGGAAAATATGGTTTGGTGGTGAATTTCTTTGATCCATTATTAGATGAGTGAGGATGCTAGGTAACAAGTCTCGTACCTCTCACATACTAAGCGAGCACTCTATCATCCGAACTACATCCTTTCTTGGTTCATCATTGGCCTATTAATTTCTTTACGTTGTATGCAAGTTTCTTCGCGAGTACGATACAGGGGGAGATGATTCCGTGAGTAATTGGGTGTTCAGATCAATTTATTCAATCCATCTCAAAGACTATCGAAAATCGCAGGCGAAGTAGACAATAAAAGCTGTCAAGCGGCAAACACTTAAACACAAACAGAATACAACATAATGGATATGATGAGCAGCTAGGAGCAGAGCGAGATCTACCAGTACTGCCTGCTCTGCTTGCCTGTGTGTTTCTGTGATCCAAAGGAAAGGGGAGTGATTTGATCAGCACAAACTGCAGAAGCACTTTCCATCCCCACCGCAATGGTAGTCCAGTTCAGGGTTCTTTGAGTAACAGTAATTGATGCATTGGCTACTATCGCTGCAAGCAGGTCCGTGCGTCGAATCCTCCTGTTCAACAGAGTAATTAGTACCGTTGGCATCTCCCATGGTCAGCTGCTTATTCCTCAGATCCGCTACCTGCATTGACGGGCTCGTTCTTGACTCACCGGGTGTCAACATGCCTTTGATTCATATAAAACAGAGCACAACAATAAGAAATAACATTCAAGAAAAACAACTAGCAATGCTTCTGTTTAATAACTTACCTGCAATCAAAACAGCAAGGATTATCAGTACAAGTGAGGATGCAATTCTCACGGAAACAGCAGGCTTCCCCATGATATTGCTTGCGTCCGCTGAACTGAAATGAGTAATGGGTATAGTGCTGTTGTTTTATCGGATTTGTAGAAATTGTTTGTAGGTTGGTTGTATTAATTTCTGCCATTTTGGAAGGGTTTATATAGCGGAGAGACGGATTATAATTCCAATTCCATCCATGGCTAGAGTTTGTGATCAATACAATACTTCAACTTATGCATGTTTCTTACTTCGATGTTTTTCATATGCATGGTATCTTTGAGAGTTTAATTTGCAGAGACTGTTGTTGTGATGATTTGCGGAGTCATGATACCAACTTCGAGTATATCGACATAGTTAATGGCATTTTATCTTTTATTGCATGATTACATGACATTGTTGGAAAAATTACACTTAATAACTAGTTTAGTGACCGGCCCGTTGGCCGGTGGTATTACTGGTTCTTCATGATATGTATGCATGTTTTCCGGTTTTAATTTATTGTTATAAGAATCGGACCAATCAATGGTTGGGTTAGTAGAATCGTCAAATCAGTTACAATAGGATTTATTCACTTTCTTGGACGTTTAATTATGGATCAAAAAAAATTTCATTGTTCAACATAAAACCAGATGAACCACCCCATTTTGATTGATCCATTGGTTCGGTATTTTAACCATAATTAAAAAAAATACTTAAATATAAACTAAGACCATTTAAACATAATCACTAATTTTACTTATGCTTCATCTTCTCATTTCCCAACCTCATTGTCAGCTCTATGTGATCGACTACCAACTGCCGCCCTAATTTCTTACATGAATTAAAAGAATTATGATTTCTTTTGTTAGATGGTTTGAACACTTCGTTAGATATTTTGCTGATAAATAATAAGAATTTGAAAATTTTTTCTGGTCAATGATAAATTCATTTTATACATTAGTGTATCACTAATATACATGTTTTATGTGCTATAGATCATGAACGATTCAATCAAATGTTAACCACTGAATCCTAAACCACTCACTCTTTTGCATCTTCATCCGGTCCAGTTATAAAAACAAAGCTTTATGTTATAGATCATGAATAGTTATATACCACTAATTTTTTCAGTTTAACATTCCATCCAGTTATGACATGAGGATTTTATTTATAGGTCTAAATCTATTGGACAAAAATGTTTTTGTGTGATTTTAGTTTCAAAAAGGCTGACATGTCATCTATGTTGAGTTTATCGAGTAAATTCATATCCAAGTTCTTATAATAATTTGACTATAGTTATCTTATTATAGTTTGCTACCTAATTTTTAATGAAACTCAATATTTTTAATATTTTTTCTTAAATTACATAACCATATGGGTTAATGTGCCCCGACTCATGCTTCATGATTGATTAACCGACCTTGAACTCACATGCCACGTAGTTGGTATGCTTATCAGATACCCGCTCTTGCCTAACCCATTATCATTCCTAATCCGGTGTAATTGAACTCTTAATTTATTAATCAATTTGACTCGAATAAATAATATACAAATAGGTCCCACGTTACCCTTGCCAATTTTACATCTAATGAAGGTAACCAATTCTTTTTAAGGGCCTTTATTATGAGGTTGTTATCGTCGTCCTAAAAATTACTAAATGTGTCCTAAAAATATTCTTTCACTCTTTTGTACATTTTAGTTTCCCTTCACTCAACAAACACATCTACGAAGAAAAATAATAATTCAAATCCTACCCAAAAAAAAATCAACTCTCCTAAAACACCCCTTAAATCCTAAATATTAAAAAACTCCAATCACAATTTAGTTTATATTACATTAAGTTAATCCCAATTAGAAAAATATTCGATTGCAAGTAGACTTTGGCTGATCGTGGCCATGATAAAACCCAATCTTGTTAACTATTGGTGGACATACCAAGATCAACATTCGATTCAACCCCAATTAAACTATTTTTTTGCTTGAATAGGATCGAACGGAATGTTGACCTCGATATGACGGAGGGCCAAATGAAATTCATTTTCATTACTGCCTATTGTCAACATAAGTTAACATTCTGTCTGCCCAAAAATATAGCCAATCACTTTCATCTTCTTCTCATATTGTGTCTTCTTCCGTTGTTATCATTCGATTTTCTATTTTAGCCTCAGTTATTCATTTTAGGGATAGCAATTACCCACCCATGATAATTATAGCCAAACTCAAATAGACCCATTGATAATGATTAATGGGTTAGGGTATGGATGAGGTATATATGTGTTTTGGGTAAGATATGAATATTGCTTCCATAATCTCAAATGATTTGGGTTGGGTATGGATATCCATTTTCTTGAGAGTGTTTCAACTACACGTACAAAGTTGGGCCTATTTGTAAAATTTGAAAAGTTTAGGTACCATAATGCAATACCTAAAGAATTTAGGTGCTAAAATGTAATTTTCCATTGATATTTTGAGGACTTATATGCACAAAAATAAAATTTAGGTACCTAATATGCATATCTATTAAGCTTAGCTACCAAAAACTGTAATTTGCATTTGGGCATGGGTACAAACTACAAACCAAAATCTATGTGTTAAAACTCCAACCCAAGTTCATAAATATGGGTACAAACCCATCAAACTCTACCCATCTACCCTCTATTTGGATAGTAAAATATCTATAAGTATGGGCAAAATTATCATCCCTAATCCATTGCATGAAATTGCAATTTCATCTTCCAATTCACATTTCAGATAGTAATTAAAATAATTATGCTATAAAAACTGTTAATTTAATTGCGTCGAATTCCCAAGCGACTTGACTCGACCGAACCAAATTTGAAATGAAATCGAGGTTTTGTTTGGAATAATGAAATGGCCATTAGCAAAATTATTAAATTAACGTAGCCATGTAGTTTGGAATAATGGTATGTTAACAAAAGTAACCTTCGGCGGTAGGAATCTCATATTCCAAGAGTGGCTTCTCTTAAAGAGGTCGGCATTATTTGGTCCAAAACTCCAAATATGAACAGAACGCATGTGTTTTTAATATTGGCAAAATTGCCCTTCCATGAAATAGGGAGAGCCAATGAAAGTGCCAAGTGGCAGAAATGATATGAAGTGAAGCATATAATATGTTTTGTTGATAATTATTGTTATTAAATTCGTGTTGCATTTAATAATTTTAAAAAGTTAAAAACTCATATTAATTACATATTTACATTGTTTTTTTTAACCACTATTGCACAGATACAACTACCATTGCACATGTACACTGAACTCATATTAATTACATTATTTTTTTTAACTACCATTGCACATGTACACTGATACCATTGCACTGTTAATTTTTGGGTTAATACTCTATTTTGACCAGAAGTTAGCGTCAGTGTCAGTTTTAGCCCTGAATTTTCAATAAAACAATTATGGCCAACCTTATAAATTAATGGACAGATTTTACTTGAAATTTTCTTTGACCGTTAATTTTGAGAGTCAAACACTTATTCTATTAGTCAATAAAAAACAAATGATGATGTGGCTTATGATGCATAGATGCATCTTATTGAATACTGGGGAGATTGTATGCATGACCAACTAGAAGGAGCTACCTAAAAAATATTTTCATTGCTTGGTTATTTGTTTGTTTTGCATTAGTAGTATATGGTACGAATTGGGCACCTCAACCCACTAGTTTACTTTCTTGCATTGCATTCAGAATCAATTGGTTAGCTTTGAGTAGTTACTATTAAAAGACCATGTAGAATACATACACATTTAGGATTTTTATCACTTGTATACCTTCACGTAATCGGTTCAGGAAAACTCCAATTGTGGATCTAAAATTAAGTAGAAGAGCCAATAGATTACTACACTCACCATAAAACTTGTATAAGGGGTCAAGTATTCTTAGTAATTGCAGAAACCAAAAGAGCCCCTATCAAAATCCCTGTAGGCTGGAAGTTTAGTACCGGTATTTGTGATATACATAATACCATACCGAATTTATCACTTATTGGTATTATCGGATACCGAATTATTTTTTAGGGATTGAGATTGAGATTCATCTTTTAGTGTTATTCGATATTCGACTATTCGGGATTACGGGATTGAGATCGGTATTATACCAAAATACCGAAAAAATCGAAAATTAAAATTTAATGAAATATTGCACACAACGTTTGGTTATTCCTCCCTCTTCGAGAACTCAGAAATCCCATCCAACAAAAATTTGACTTTCCAGTTTAAGTGACACGTCTCTCACTCAATCTCTTGTTATTTGCATAACACCAAAAAACAAACACTCTCATTAGTCATCTCTCAGCCTCCAATCTGTCGAATTAAATATTACAAATGACAAGAAATTGAGATGACACCATTTTATCATTCTCCTTACCCATGTCCTAGCTATAGGCGAACACAAGATCCTTAGCCTAGCTAGTCTCTTTGCCCTAAATTAGATTACATACTCTTATTTATATATTTAATTATTAATTATAAATACCGATTGGGATACCGACAATACCAATTGGGATACTGAAATACTTAGGATTGAGATTGGGATACCGAATTAATTTAGGGATTGGAATTGAAATTGATTTTATCGTGTAATTCGTTATTCGAAATTTCGATAATTGATTTTGAGATACTGATACCGTACCGATTTTTACCCTACCTGCCTCGAATAATTGTCACAATTCGTTGCCTTCAATTTGCCACTTCTTCGTCTTAACCCCATCTTAGAGGACGTTTGGTAATATTGGAAGACGATGAAAGGATACAGGTGGTAGGAAATGGTTGTTGGGAGAGATGGAGGGTGGAGGAGGCGCTACGGAGTCAAATGGGCGGCTACAGGAAATGAATTTTGAAGAAGCATATTAACTTTTTGAAACTAGAGGCTATTAGTATTGGTAGAGAAAACTCTCCCTTCCTTCTATTTTTAGGAGATTCTATTTAAAATTAAGATTTGCAATTTAAATATAGAAATTAATATCGTAATATTGAATATTGAGATAATTAAAATATTTTCATAATATTCGACTTGTAGAGACTAACATATAGTTGCAAAAACTTCTCATTATCACTAATCTCATAACAGAACCAAAAATATGCCTTTAATTTATTATATTTTAATTCAAATATAAAATATTTATTTTACTAACGACCTGATACTAACAACTATAGAGGCAAATTGCATATTTGACACATATGCAATATGAGACAAGTCGTAAATTTGTTATGTTTAAGGTAGTTTTAAAGGCACATATTGCATTTGTCTCAATATTTTAGTCACTATAGCCTTTTATATTATAGTGTAAATTCGATTGATTTGGTCCTCTCCATGTCAGTATGATCTGGTGTGGTCTGCTTTGGAACAATAGTTGCACAACCTACCATATTGGGTCGGGTGTGGCTAAGTTTTATCGGAAAAAATAGAAAAAATGAATCATATTTATTTGTTTTTTTGCTAGGTTATTCTTTTAGTCTTCCATTCTTTGAATTCCTCATTCCTAATACATTGTCACTTCTCCTCGTATTTTCTTTGCCTCCAGCTTCCTTTCCCATCTCTGCAATTTCCACCCCTATGACTACATTGTCGTCGAATCTCGTCTCCTTTAGCCTCCCATTTTGTTGACCTTGCTTACAATCCTTATAGCTTCATCATTTGACGATGCCTCGGGGAGGGTATGGGTATAGAGATACCCGCCCCGGACCTGCCCCATTGCCATTCCTACGAGCGGATCGGGTTGCAGGTTGTTCAAGTCAGCGCATCGAGTAACTTACTCATTACTCATTACCAACTTACACATTTTATTACACTAATTTAAAATATTTTTCTCAACTTTTTAACCAATTTCTTTCTACCTCGTATATATATACTTAATTAAAAAAATTAGTCAAAATGTTGAATCTATTTATATGACTTGCAAACTTGTTATATAATAATCGTAATTGGTAAAGTATACTAGCTAATAGTAATTGTGATATCAACATTCGCAACCAAAAGACACCATTAATTTTTTATTTGATATTTCAGTATTATTTCAGTAGTAATTGGATTAAAGTATCTCGTTTAGTATAACCATGCAAATATTGTATTTGGCAAAAGCCGAGTGATAAAAGGAGTTATTTCGAAATAAATCATTGCTCAAATAACTTTAGTAAACTGTTGTCGAACAAATTATTTGTAAAATTGTTGGAATTATCCTAAAAATTGAACCATTAAAGATTAACTATCAAATTTAGTAAAATTGTTGTAAGATTAACTATCATAACTTACTCAATAACATATATCCTATACACTTAGCCTTACACTCAATCGACAATATTAAGTTAGTGTATGTTGTCGATCGTATACTCTAAATCATCAATACATTATACACTAACCACATACCCTATAACCTAACCATATATCCTTATGAGTTGTGATTTTGCTAGTATAGTTAATTTAAATGTGAAATTCATACTTTGATGTTCAAAACATATATGAAAAAGTGATATTTGCTAATTGCTATACCCTAACCATCTATCCTATACTCTACACTATATACCCTGTACCCTAACCACGTACCATAAACATAAATTAAAAATGGGTCACCTGCCGTTAAAGACTTCAAATGATTTCAAGTGAACATATGTTAATAAAAAACTTAGAACTGTAAAAATCATTAATACCTTATACCCTAACTATATACACCCTAAACCATATGTACCTTAACAATCGTATGACTGAGTTATTGCAATCGTATGACTTAACATGCTAAGTTTAACCCCCATTTTGAAATAAATGTTCAACACGAACACAAATTAAATGTGTCAAAATTTTACTAACTGTTGTAAAATAACGATCATGTAGTTTGAAGTTGCAATAAATGTAGAAGCACAGAAAACAAGTAGACAAATTAAGTGATATGTAAAACAAATGATTTTTGTAACTAATGGTTAATTTAGTTATTAGCCCATAAACAATTACATATACATATATATTAGCCTTCAAAGCATATAAGAATAAATTTAACTAGTCATGCCCTCTATAAAAATATTAAAGATTCATATTTTAAAAGCTAAAATTTTGAAAAACCAAAAAGTTGAAAACACCAAATTTGTTTCCTTTTTTATTTTCCCAAAAAAAAATTTAAAATACTAAAATTTCTCTCCTTTCTCTTTTCATAAATTAGGAACACTCAATTTTCCCTCTTCTCTCTCTTCCATAAAATTGAAAAATAAAAATTTCCTCTTTCTTCCTTCCTTACACAAAAAGTTGAAAACTCAAAATTTGCCTCCTTATTTCTCTTTCATAATCAAAAGAACCAAACTTTTCCACTTCTTTCTCTTCCCACAAATCAAAACCACCAAAATTACTCCTTGTTTCTTTTCTCAAAAATTTAAAGAACCAAATTTCCCTCTTCTTTCTCTTCCCAAAAAGTTGAATACACCAAAATTTCTCTCTTCTTTTAAAAGCATCGATTTACAATTATTGATAATTTTATTGAATAATTAAATTAACCAAAATTTTAATTTATATATTATATTAATATTATTCATGATCTCAATTATTAATATTGAAATTGTGTTGATTTTATATTTCATATTTACCTTTTTAAATTTATTAAAAAATTTAGTGTTCAAGTGACGTTCATGTTTAAATTTTTTTAATTTTCTTAAAATACATAATATCATGTAAGTTACATATCTTTTTAAATTCCCTATACGAAATGAAAAAAAAAAGTTTGTCTAAGGTTAGAATGACAAATATTATTTTGAAAAACTATGTATTTTATAATATAATAATTATTCAAGTAGATTAGGTGAAGTTCGAGTTGAGTTGGTTGGGTTACGGGTTAGTCGGGTTGGGATCAATCGGGTTTGGGTTAATCGGGTTGCAGGTCAGTCGAGTTGCGGGTTAGTTGGATTGCGGGTCGGGGGGGTTACGGGTTGTTACTTTTAGTCAATTCGGGGTGCGGGTCGGGTTAATCAGGCGGGTTAATCGGGTCGGGTTAATCGGGTCAGGTTGACACCTATAATCCTAATCTTCTATTTCCTTATCTTTCTTCCGATTTTCAAATTATTGGTACAGATTGGATTAAGGATATTTTTGGACGAAAAAAATTTGATCACACTTGATAACTACTCTTTTTATTTATTAATTTACCCAAAATCCTACATTAACTCTCTCTCTCTTCTCTCTCTCTGCTCCACCACCGTCGCAGCCCTCTTGTCGACCAGATGCCCTGTGCCTCCCACCACTGGCGCAGCCCTCCCATCGCCCCGTCGGTAGCCGGTGTTAGTCTGATTGAACGATTTCACCGGAAAAAGGGCTGTCGTATCGGAGAAATTTTGGCGGTCGGAGCGGAGAGGTTGCTGAGAAAAGAAGAGAGAGATAGATAAAAATATAAGTGTATTAATTGTAGGGTATTTTTTTAAAAAAACATGTATTTAATATGAGATTTTAATTTCCAATATGTAATTAATATAAAAAAATTAATAAATTCATTTTTATACCCAAAATGCCATTGTCACAACCACTTAGAAGATGACCGTATCCCATCCCTTCCTTTCCTTTTGTTTTCTTGTTTGGTGTTAATTTTTTTAATTGATGATTTGAAATGAATTTCGCCCAAGTTTAATAATTATGATTTAATCTTGACCAACTTCAACACAAGTACACAACTCATCTAGCTAACTGGTAACCAGTTTAAGTAGGAAAGCCGAACACACAGTAATCTTAAAATTAACTCGATGTGATAGTCTCTCAGTACTGAACTCTGGGTTTCGTCTCAAAGGCGATGGAAAACCGCGTATTGAGATTAGCTCAAACAGGGTGGCAATCGAGCAGCAAAGTAAAACACACAAACCGAAGAAGAAAACATGATCAGCCAGCAGCAGGCAGTATCCCATTCTACCAGTACGTACTTCCTGCAATATAATTATTCGTTGGTTCATCGCATCTCTATAATTTTTTATTCCTCCGTCTTTCTTAGCTCGTGTTTCTGTGATCCAAACGAAAGAGGATTAATTGATTCGGTCAGCACCAACTGCAGAAGCACTTCCAATCCGCACCGCAAAAGGAGGACAGTCCAGGGTTCTTTGCGTGACAGTAATTGATGCATTGGCTGTGTTTAGTGCAAGCCGGCGGGTCCTCCGTCTGTTCGACAGAGTAATTAGTAGCGTTGGTTCCTCCCATGGCCAGCTGCTTATTCCCCACATCCGCTACCTGCACGGATGGGCTCGTTCTCGCCTCACCCGGTTTCAACATGCCTGCGATAACAAGAAATACTATCCATGAACTTTATTATTCAAGAAAACACAACTAGCTAGCACTGCTTCACTTAATTACTTACCTGAAATCAGAACAGCAAGGACTATCAGTACAAGAGAGGTTGCGATTCTCAAGGAAATAGCAGGCTTCCCCATGATGTTGCTTGCGTCCGCTGAACTGAGACTGAGTATTTTGGGTTTTGTAGAAATTGTTTTGTAGGTTTGATTGTATTAATTTCTGGCATTTTGGCAGGGGTTTATATAGTTGGGAGATGGATAATAATTCCAATTCCATCCATGGCTAGAGTTTGTGATCAATACAATACTTCAACTTATGCATGTTACTTACTTTGATGTTTTTCATATGCATGGTATCTTTTACCGTTTTTTTTTTCTTTCCTTTTTGTACAGAGTATCTTTTAGAGTTTTGATTTGCAGAGTCATGATACCAGCTTCGAGTAAATCAACATTTTCAATTGACAAGCATTTTAACTTTTCCTGTGTATGATTAAATGGCATAATGTTCGTTTGGACTTTGGAATGTTAGTGGTAGGTGTTCAAACGGTGTGTTATCGTGGTAATTGTTTTAATCTGTAGCATTTGGATAATTGGTTTGGCTGGTTAATTTTTTTAGCTTGTTTGATTTAAGTGGTTTTGTTTGGTTTTAGACACTGCTAACCAATCAAATCAAATTAACCAGTTAAGTAATTAGCTATATATCTAATATATTATATAGACATACTTAATGCTTTGCATATCCACTCAAGAGTAAAATGTAAGTTAATTGTATTAGTTACATGTAAATATGTTAAGGGTTAACTATAATTTTGGGTTGATTGTTATGTGTTATTCATTATAAAAATTGTGAATTGATGCACTAACCGGAAAAATTTCTCACTTAATAATAATGTGATGATATATTGGTTATTTTGGTTAACCAATTAACCAAACCGATTAAATTTTAGTTTGGTTAATTTGGTTGCTATACTAGTTTGGACGGTTTGGTTATGATATTGTATTTCATGGTTAATAGAATTTAGGCTTATTTATTTGGTAATTACCTAACCATTTGAACACCCCTAGTTGGCAGGGGTGTTCAAACGGTTTGGTTACCATGGTAACCGTTTTAACCGGTACTATTTGGATAGTTTGGTTTGGTTAATTTGGATAATTGGTTTGGTTTGGTTAAAGTTTTTAGCTTGTTTGGTTTAGGTGGTTTGGTTTGGTTTCATACACTCCTAACCAGTCAAACCAAATTAACCAGTTAAGTAATTAGTCATATGTCTAACATATATTATATACACATACTTAATACTTTGCATAACCACTCAAGAGTTAACGTTCATTCCTTTTAAACTCATAAAATATAAAACTCAATATTGCTCATATAGTGTATATTTGTATATGTAAAATGTAGACCACAACATATGGACGCCTAATTTAGATAAATTTCATACATTATGATGGATGAAAACTTGAAAGGAAGGTTATTTCCAGCCTATGATAATTGCTAAGAGACTAAGTCAATTTACACAAACACAACAATTCATTAACACATACCATTGTCATAAAATTTGTTAGGTGACTACTTCTATACTAATCGTAAGATAATTGTCTTAGTTGCATGTATTTTTGTTAAGGGTCAACTATAACTACCACTACAAAAAAAAAGAGGCTTTAACGAGGGGTAGAAACGGTCGTTGATTGTCAAAAAACGGTCGGGAAAAGTCATTGACGACGGGAGAGGACCCCTCATTATAGGCTTCGCCGGTAAAAGTCAACAACGACGGGAAAAAACTATCCGGTCGTTGAAAGTATCAACGAGGGTACTTCTTCCGGTCGTTGAAAATTACTTTTACCAAGTAGAATCAGAAACATTGCCGACAAAACTACCCTCGCAAATAACAAAATTTCTGTCGTTACAGATGCTGCTGCAAACAATGCCAATTTATTTTCCCGAATGGCTAGTAACCTTCCATACCATTGACAATAATCAACGTTTGAAAGTTTAATCATAGAAATATGTCATTTTCTGGCTTAATTGCAAGTTTGGTCACTCGAATTGTTACAAAATTTCACGTTTGCCACTCAAATTAATTTATTCCATTTATAGTCACTTAAATTAGGTTAACAGTCCAAGTTTGGTCACTGGCCGTTAGTCTCCGTTAACTTTTGCTGATGTGGCGGTCAACACTTATAGTTGACCGTTAAATGCATGACGTGGCAATTAAAAAATTAAAAGAATTTAGAATTTCCACCTCACAACAAAGTTCCTCCATTTGCTCTGTTCCCAAATCGGCCATGCTTCCGAATGACACATACACAACTCTTTAGCTTGAGCTACCCAACAATGGCGGAGCAACAGAAGAGTGAATTCTCAGAATCAGCAGCAGCCGACAAAGCCCACTGTTTGGTTGTTCCGATTCCAGGGCAAGGCCACATCATCCCAGTCCTCCAATTCTCGAAGCGCTTAATCTCCAAATGAATCCGGGTCACCATCGCCCCGATCCGATTCATCGCCAACACCGCCACCCTCATCGGCGTCGCCGGGAGCGACATCCATCTCCACCCCATCTCCGACGGCTACGAGGAAGGCGGAATCGCTTCTGCCGAGGACGGCCAGACCTACTTCGACACGTTCCGGTGAGTGGGTTCCCAAACCCTCGTCGATCTAGTTCGTCAACAGAGGAATTCAGGCCACCCTGTCCACTTTGCGTCTACGACCCTCACCTTCCGTGGTGTCTCGACGTCGCCAAAACCCTCGGCTTCATCGGAGTCGCCTTCTTCACTCAATCATGCGCCGTCGACGCCATATTCTCCCATGTTCATGACGGACTCCTCAATCCTCTCGTCCAAACCCCAGAAATGCTAACAATTCCTGGATTGACGCCATTGAAGCCTCGAAATCTTGCTTCTTTCGTTCATGACGCATCGTACCCGGCCTTCCTCGCCGCCATGGTCGGTCAATTCTCCAATATTCACAATGCTGATTGGGTTCTCTGCAATTTGGTTTATGAGCTGGAAACAGAGGCGGCGGATTGGCCTGCGAAGCTCTGGGCAAAACAATTGGGCCGACTACACCGTCGTTTTATTCCGACAAGCAATTGGTCGGCGACAGAGACTACGGTGTCAGCTTCTTCAAGCCGGAGAATGGTGCTTGCAACGATTGGCTTCATACCAAGCCGAAAGGGTCTGTTGTGTATGTGTCATTATTCAAAAGCATGGCCAATTTGGGAACAAAGCAAAATGGAGGAACTCTGTTGTGAGGTGGAAATTTTAAATTTTAAAGTTTTTAAATTTTTTAATTGCCACGTCATGCATTTAACGGTCAACTATAAGAGTTGACCGCCACGTCTGCAAAAGTTAACGGAGACTAACGGCCAGTGACCAAATTTGGACTGTTAAACTAATTTAAGTGACTATAAATGGAATAAATGAATTTGAGTGGCAAACGTGAAATTTTGTAGCAATTCGAGTGACCAAACTTGCAATTAAGCCGTCATTTTCTTTATTACTTTAATCCACCAGTATGAAAGCTAATATATATGTTCAGTAAAAGTACACCTACGAACATATATCTAAAAGTGAAAAATCATCCAGTATGATTGTGCTTTAACACAATAAAATACAGGTAATTTGTACTCCTAGTACAAAAGAGATACACTATGGTTGCTTTCAGAGTGGATGGAGCAATAATATCCCTTTCTTCAGCGCTTGAAGCACTATCCTTTTGCCTCTAGACCTTGCATATGTTCTTCCAAGTTCCAAGTCCTTGCCGAAGATACACTGATCACATTCATAGGACGCTTCTCATGAGACGAAACCATATCTAGGACAAAAAGGGAAAGAAAAAAGACGCTGAATCTCATACGGTAGGAAGATACATAGAACATGTAGTGCAAAAAATGCAGCAAGATGCAGAAAAGTGCAGCAAGCAATTGGAATGGCAGAAAGTTAAAGCAGCAGCCGGCAGGCCCTCAATTTGTGTATTAAGACCTTAACAGTTGTATACAACCTAAGACTACTTGTAATCAGAACATATGAGTTATAAACACAACGACTTACCAAATTCACTTCTCGTCATAGACAAAGACATTTCACTTTGGTCCAGTGCAATATTCGATCAAACACTACATCACAGTTTGGCTACCCATTACTGCAAATACTCCTGCAACAAGTCATTTTTTTTAACACAACATCAACAAAATCCAAACTAAATGTACATATCAAAGAACCATAGGGAGGGTGGGGGCAGAACTTAGGATGCATTTTACACGCAAAATGCATAGACATCATGTCCTGTTTCAACTCTGTTTTTCCATAGCTCTTGTTCTTGTAGTATTACTTACTGATTCTAGCCAACAAATACTTAGATTGCAGTTTGAAGGTACAACCCATGAGGACAAGGGACCATTACAGGAACAATGCTAAGAACTTAAGTAAAACAACAGCTGAACTTAATACCTAAAAAAATAGACAGTCTCTTATATTATACACCATGAAAAATACTTACCAAACTCGCTTCTCATCATGAATAGGAGCATTTCCCTTTAGTGCAATGTAGCATTTGATCAAACAGTAGAGCCTGAAGGGAGGGTAAATCATGAGAGCTTCCAGTAGCCTCAATTCTAATTTGAGCTGCAATTGCTCCTACCATTTACAAAAAGCATTCCCAAAACAAGAAAGCACCATCAAATCCAAACTAAAAAATAAAATCAAGCAAATAGCCATTAAGAGCGAGGGGGCAGAGGAATGAAAGAGGAGCTTTGAACAGAAAAGCATATATATTATGTCCTAATCCTTATCTCTTTTTTTTAATTGCTCGTGTCATTACCACTAATTGGCCTCTCCCATCTTGAAATAAATTCCTACCAAAAAAAGAAAGGATTGATCCTAGTTCATTTCAGTCTATACTTACCTGTTACCAGCGGATGGATGACATTACCAGCAGCTAGCCGGGAACGAATATGTAACCTAGCAGCAGCAGAGCTTAACCGTTTCGCTTCTGTTTCTTCGCTGCTGCAGTTTCTACCATACCAACTAGCAGACATGACAGCGACCACCATCCAGAAAGCAATTCTATTTCAGCCGACTCAGAAAAGAAAGAACAAAAGAATCAGCTCAAGCACAATACGAACACTGAGAGTCCCACGAGATGATATAAGAAAGGGCGGAGGTAGGAAGGGAACAAGCCGGCGGGAGAAGAGGAGAATGCAGTAACGTACACTTGTGCTTGTCTGGAGTCGCCCGTATTTAGCTCTGGTTGTGGTAGGCGGAGGCGGCAGGGAGGCTGTGTGCCTGTGCCTGTGCGAGGCGAAGGTGATGGGATTCTTTGCTCTGTGGCCTTCGTCTTTGAGAAGAAGAGAGACATTTCTCGCTGAGTTTTCCTCTAGGGTTTCAAAGAGGATGGAAGGAACAAGGAAGAGAGTGGGAATGGATTATTTCAGACGGCCGCTTAGCGGAATTAGGATTGGATACGCTTTATTGGATCTGAACTGAAAGTGTAATGAAACCCGCCAAGGTGAATAGGTAGGCGGGCTTTCAAAAAAATTCCATTGAAACCCGCCAAGGTGAAATAAAAGTAGGCGGGCTTTCAAAAACATTTCATTGACTAAAATCACGAGGGGTTTCAGCCCATCGTTAGTGGTCTTGGGCTAATAACGACCGTAGGTTTCAGACAGTAACGAGGGGAAATAGAAGACCCACATTAATAGACAAGTGTTAATGAAAAGCTGTCTTTTAATGACCGTTTTTGATACCCTCGGCAATTTTTCCCCTTGTTAATATCTCCTTTTTTGTAGTGTACGTGTTGATTGTTATGTTTTATTCATTATATAAATTGTGAATTGTTGCATTAACCGGAAAATTTTCATCGTCAATGATAATGTGATTTTCTATTGGTTAATCTGGTTAACCAATTAACCAAACCGATTAAACTTTAGTTTGGTTAATTTGGTTGTTGTATTAGTTTGAACAGTTTGGTTATGATATTGTATTCCATGGTTAATGAAATTTAGCCTTATTTGGTTTGGTTATTGTTTGTGCCTAGATACCCGCGGGCTCATCCGAGTCTTCACTTCACCCGGCGCCTGCCTACACACACACGCAACGAGGAGGGCGCCTGAGCCCGTTAATCCTCCGACGCCCAAGTTAGTTCTTTAGAGAGGGAAAGGTCTGAGAGTCGGAATTCTAGTGAGAGAGTCCAACCTGTGTAAATGCTACCAACTGCCCCTATTTATACTCACCGAACTCGAGGTTGATTTCCTCCACGTCACTGCCCCAATTTAATGCTCTGTGTCCTCCTTGTGAGACATCCAACTGCCTTGTCAGGCTTCTGACACGCGACAGGCGCCCACAGGCAGTGGACCACCTGACAGCTGGTCTTCTCTTGGCTTTTAGTGTTTTGTCCTTTTGGGCCCTTCCTCTTGCTTGGGCCTAGTGACCTTTATTGGAACCATTTTTTGGGCTCTGCCCCCAACCCTACTTTTTGGGGGCCCAGACCATTAACTATGGGGTAGTACCCCCAACAATTGCCCCCCAGTCAGGTGCTCATGGTTTAGCCCTTGAGCGCCTGGCTGGTTCTCTTGCCGCGGCCTTGTGTCCTCTTTCTTCATAGACGCCTACTTTCTATTGGTGCCCCCCTTTGTATTCTTATGCTTCTCGTGGTTTGTGGGCATCCTTGCCGACCACTACTCGCTTGTGGACGCCCAGCCTTTGTTGATGCTCCCTGCTTTGCGCGCTTCCTCTTTGTGATTCTTTTCGTGGTTTGTGGGCGTCCTCGCTGACCCCAATCTTTGTTGAAGCTCCCTGTTTTGTGCGCTTCCTCTTTGTGATCCATGGGCGCCCCTTCATGGAGTTCATCGTGATGAATGTCCCTAACCCTTATGCCCCCCTCACGGGGGAACTTTTGACGTGGTCCCCACGCTTTGCTTGCCGGGGAAATTGAAATTTCGAATTAAAAGAAAATTCGAAATTGGGATTCTGGAAATTTCCAAAAAAGGAAAGGGTGGGGGAAGCTCAAAAGTCCGCCCGTGATATTGGCACGTACGTTCGAAACTTGAATATTGGTTTTTTTTTTGGAAAGGTGGGGGAAGCTGAAGAGCCCGCCCGTGGTGTTGACACGTGGCGCGAGATTGGGCTGGGATCTTCCTTCCCTTTAAATACCCCTCCCCCTCTAGTTTCTGTCACTTTCTTCCATTTGACTTCTCTCTAAGATTTCGCTCTGACCTCTCTCTAGATTCTGCTCTGCCCTCTCTCTTGTCAGACTTTGCTTTCGTCATACTTCTTCTTTGCGTCCGTCCAAAATGTCGTCCCCACAACAAGACAAAGCTTCTGGACAAGGCGCCCCGGGCGCAAGCGCATCTGGTGCGGGCGCTTCAGGCGCAGGCGCCTCTGGCGCAGGTGGTGAGGCGAGGCGTCCGGGCCAAAGCGGTAAGGAGTCCTTTTTCGTTCGTTGGTTTTGTTGAGTTTATTCTAGTTACCTAGGGTAGGGCGTCACTTACCCCGCGTCCACGTTGCGTCTGGGTCGTTTGTTGGTTTAGAGGGGGCGCCTGCTTCGACATCTGCCGGACCATCAAGCGCCTCGTCACCCGGATTTCTGCCCGCAGACGGATCCTACAAGATCACCACATGGGAGAAATGCTTTCCTCCGGACCATCTACCAGTGGAGACGGCCCATCTGCCCTTCGACGTGGCCGGGCCAAAGCATGGGTCGACGGTCACTCTGGCGCGCGTCCATGAGCTTGTCACCAGTCTGCAACTGCCGCGCGACTGATGGTATGCGCCCCCTTCTCCTATCTCGCGAGTGGGCATCTGCGGGCCCAAGTGGATCGGGGTGTACTAGGAGTACTTTCGATTCGGGCTGCGCTTCCCCCTCGACCATATTATAGAGGGGATTCTGACGACGTGCGGTTGTTCGTTGGGGCGCCTATCCCCTCAGTCATTACCATAGTGATTCTATTCAAGTTGAGGTGTCGGGAGAACAATGTGGAGCCCACCTTTAACTTGTTTAGGTACTTTTTTAAGATGGCGCCCCTCGACAACTGTTTATCACTTCAAAAGCGAAAGAAGCGCCCGTACCACTTCGTGTCACGATGTCCCAAACTCAACCGTAAATGGTTCAACGGCTTCTTCTTTATGAAGGCGTATCGGGACTCGTTTTTTGAGAGTGGAGGCGCCTTCCTTAGGCAGTGGGAGTTGGGACATGTTGAGGAATTCAACTCGCTAGTGGTACTGTCACAAGCAGAGAAAGAAGGCGCCCGCTTGATTTGTGCGGAGCGTGTGGACTTGCGTCCTGCGGAAAACCGCCCTCCCATTATTCAGGCGTATTATAATGATGGTCTGTAGGCGCCTAGGTGTTCTGACTTCTTTTTGTTGCGCCTTCTTTGTACTTTAACTAATTGTGTTCACCATTGTGCAGGGTCGAATTACTCTAGCATCGCCAAGCTGATGAAAAGTCGGCTTGCTGCAATGGCGGCGGGATCACCGCCGCCTGCTCGACAAGAGGCGCCCGAACCGGCCGCCACCCAATCACACGCGCCCAAGGCCGCCCCGAAGAAGAAGAAGAAGAGGGCGGTGAAGGGAGGCGCCCTACGCGCGAAGACCGCCAGCGTGGCGTCTTCCGCCCCGGAGGAAGGTGAGGGGGCGCCTAACTCTGATCCAGCGGAGCAAGAGGGCAACTTCGTGGAAGAAGAGGAAGAGGAGCCCCTGCTCCGTCGGGGGAAGAGAGCTGGCTCCCCCTTAGCCTCTGCCAGCAAGAGAGCTGACAAAGGGAAGGGAAAAGCAGGCGCCGCTACTGCCACCGGAGAGGAGGAGGAGGAGGGCGCCCGATATCACCTCAACGAAGAGGGGCGCTATGTTGGCCCCGATGGGCGCCCTCCAATCTTTCTGCCGCGCCGGGCCGACGTTGGGCGCATTAACCTACCCTGCTCTCCCTTGGTGGCCGTCGACCGAGGCTGCGCAATGGGACTGGCGATTGCGGCCGCCAAGTCATGGCAGGTTCCGTCCGAGGTGAACGGGGATCATCTCTTTTCTGAATTGGCCCAAGTGGGCGCCAAGGTATATGCTTTTCTACTTGTTTTTCTCGTGATTGTGGGAACTCTTTGTTACTTGTACAATTTTCTGACCTTTCTTATTTGGAGTATGTAGATCCTTCTTTTTGCCGAAAGAGGCGCCCGAGGCCTCAATGAGTCGAAACGAGAGGCACTCGAGGCCTCCCCTTCTTCTGCCAAGATGAAGCTTCATCTGGAAAACGCGACTGCACGCCGCGAACAGTTTGCGAAGGAGTGCGAGGAGGCCCAGATGAATGCGGCCATGGAGGTGTCGCGCCTTCAGGGGGCCCTCGAAGATCAGCGGAAGAAGTTGGCGGATCTCCAAGCGGAGAAGGATGCGTTGGCGCAGGAGGCTGGCGCCCAAGCCAGCGAAATAGACATCCTCAAGGAGGAGAAGAAGAGGCTGCAGGACGCCTGCAAGGAGACCAAGAAATCCTTGAAGGAGGCCCGGAAAGAAATTTCTGATTTGCGGCGCTCTTTGGACAACTTCGAGGAGTCGGAGGCTGGGAAAGGGATGTGCGCCAACGCTATTCTGACCGGCCTCGAAATTTTGAATGTGAAGCTGCAAAACGATCACCCCGACCACACTTGGGATCTCACAGAGATGGCCGAGTACGTGATCGGAGGATTGGAGACGCCCCGCGGAACAAGTGGGGCGCCCGAGCCTTCTGCACCGACATCACCTTCTCCGAGGGCGCCTTGTGTTGAAGATGCGAATTCTGGCGCGGAGTAGAGAGTGGGCGCATTGTTTTTATCTTTGTTGTTATGCTTCACTTTTTTTTTTATCTTATCTTATTTTATATAAAGACGTTTCCTGCATTTGGCATTGCTTACTTGCTTTAAATCATTCTTACGGGGGCGCTTTGCGGGTATTGGGCGCAAAGTTGGGCGCATTGGTGTTCCGTCTTAGGGCGCGATACTAGGGCGCTTTAACTTACTTCAACATTTGGGCGCGAGATTTGGGCACTTTTGTGCGTAAGAAATGATAAGAACGAACACGAAGTCACTATTGGGGCGCTCGAAAATGGGCGCTTTGGACACAATACGGCGCTACCTTTCGGGCGCTTTAGTCACAACACAAACACACCTACATACTTGTCCTGATATAAACCAACACTTTCGACTATGGTAACCTTATCTCCTTTCTCGCCCTTGTCAAGTCGAGGCGCCCTCTCCAGATATGGCGCCCGCAAAGTAAAGTCGCAGATTTTGAGCATTCCATGTCCTTTTCACCACTCGGCCATCAGTATGCTCTAACTTGAATGTGCTGGGTCCTACCACCTCCCTAATTCGATATGGGCCTTTCCATTTTGGTGCTAAC